GCTTTGTTATTTCATACGATACTATAGCCGTTTTACAACCGCCAAGTTGTGACCGAACAACAAAGGGTTTACAGCTCCCACATGACCATGCCGTCATGACGCGTAGGATTGGGCCCTTAGTAAAATTCAACAACGTTAATATTATTAAAGCAGCTGTATATGCAACATTAACCAGAAGGACGTAAATCTCCGTATTTTCACTGGAGTAACTAGAAAAGAGATATTATACTTACTCTCAAGTTTTCAGCTGCATGAGAAGAGGGATAGTTTTCACTTCTGTCGTCAGCAAGCGGCTTGTAGTTTGATAAGCTGGTTGGAGTCGCTGATCTTCTACCTATTCCCTCCACCTTGTAGGAAAAAATGGAGAAGAATGTCACAGATGTGAGGCCCCGATATAAGGACTGTAATCTGCTGCCTTTTTCATCGTTAGCGCAGTGATTAGTATCCAGTGCCTGCTGCCTGCCAAGCGGCCGGAAGATCACAGGTTTGAAACCCGGCCGGGTAATAATCGTGATGTTAAGACTTTGTGTCCGGCGGGCAGATTATCCCGCCATAAGGTGTTGCCTTTAGGGCGTGGGCCTTATCTCCGCCATTTTTCCTTATCATTAGGAAACCAAATACGGTCAGATAAAAGTTGTACTGAGCAGTATTTCCCTGTCGCGCTATTTATCATGCTTCGCAAGGTGACTCTAACTTTTAAGTTTGCAGATGGATTAGGTGGTTTATACTACTACATTAGAAATTTCTGCAGTTTGATTGGCTTAGAACAGTGGTATTTCAGCTTAATTTGAAATACCTACATGTGAAAATTACAAACCTTTTTTGGGTAATAGTATAAACAAATAATAGCATGATTTGTACGTGATATTTTGCATATGTACCCCTCGTGATATTTCAAAATTGTCTCAAATTTCACTCGCCTAACGGCTCGTGAAATTACGTATAACAATTTCGAAATATCACTCGTGGTATTTATGCCAAATATCACTACAAATCATGCTATTACCTATACAAAATGGGTTTCACATTTAAAAAATCTAATGAATATTCTCAAATGGGTTGGTTTCCTCCGGAAACTCTTGAGTTACCTCTTTGGTCCTTTTGCTCACAAGCTGATCAGGTGGCGTGCTCTGTCGTCTTGGTTGCTTCACTTCAAATTCAGATATGTGCGGCTCAGGTGTCCCGGGAAGACTGGGATAAGCATCGTGGTCAGGCTTCGGTGGGGCTCTCTCCACCGCTGCCTCCGCCTCCACTGGTGGCGATTCCCTCTTTGACTCAACTGTAACCTCTAGTGGCTGAGGCTCTGCTTTTGGTGCAGTGGGTGGGGAAACAGCAGAGTTTTCGTCCTAACGGGAATGAAAGAGTAAACTATAATCTCTGGTGCCACAGACAGCTTAGAGCGAGCACACATTAATACTCTTCTCCTGAACATGAGTTGTTTGGAGGAAGGAGAATTCTAACACCAGAAAGCTCAGAAAAAATTCCGAGCTCCAGGTGGCCCTCCGAGTTCTAGATCGGTTGATCTAACTACTGACCTACTGGAGGCTCTATGGCGAGCAGGATCGAAATTTAATAACTACACCAGTCAAAGTACGAGAGCTGATCTGGTATCATATAAATGTAATTAATTAACCCAGACTGAAACGTGTAAGGATCAACTCTCATGGCTAAGTGGAATTATTCGACAACTCCTTTTTGCTGTAGAATCCTGAATCCTCGGTTTTGGAATGCGGAATACAACTCAGGAATCCGGAATCCCACTAACGATTAAGATCCGGAATCCAAGTTCCACTGAAAAAGAATCCGGTTCCCGGTACCTGGAATCCGGAATCCACGTTTTGGAATCCAGAATCCAAGGCTGTCTTGGATTCTTTTACAAGGGGTGAAACGAGAATCCTTTTAACCATAGACCGCCATTAAAAGTTTTCTTGTCAAATCAGTGAGCACACGCGAGCTGATTTATAATTATGTGAGTAAATGTTAGGAAGGTTCTTGCGGTTCTGTGCCTCAGCGCCTTTCATCAGCTTGGTTCATTTCTGATACATTACCATGATACCATGGACCCTTTTGAGCCCTTTCTTAAACCTGTCTCAAATGAAATTGCTCTTTTCTGGCCATTATAAATCTCTTTGCAAGAACTTCACTACTTTCTTAATCCTTTTCCCGTAGACTCCGTATTTCTGGGCGCCCTATTTTTTCAGTTAGTTTTTGAAAATTCATTGTATGTGGAAGTGCGAATTCGGATTGAGGTTCGTGTTTGAGCCTCTGCGTGGTGCAGTTTCCTTAGACAATAATTTTTGCTCCACTACGTCTTTCTTCTTCCTGAAATGGGTACCAGCGATATACTTCTGGGGGCAATCAGTGATGGACTAACAACCCATCCAGGGAGGGCGGATAGCAACACTCATATAAAATGTGCTTCAAGCGACAGAAACCTGGTTTAGCCTGCTTTGCTGGCTTTTTTTGGTGAACTTTTCGTTTGTGTATCGTAACAAAGCAAGAGATACAGCTGCGCCAACACTGAATCGAGGTCAAAAGAGGAAACGATGGGAAAATGGGAGTGAAAGAGGGCAGAAGGATTTTTGTCTGCCTTCTTTCTCTTGCCCTCTACTCCATCGCTTTCTCGTCTGAGCTCTTACTTTAAAAAACACGGACGAAAAACACACCAGACAAAACGCCTGTTACGTAGGCTAAACTTGGTTTTCCGCTCTAGCATCGACGACGGCAACAAAAACGTCGTTATAAAAAAGACTTCGCTTTTTTTCAAACTTTGTCGCAATTATTCGGACTCACTGAAAATGTCAAATGTAGGTGAATTTTCCTGGGATTGAGTTCTTAGAGACCCAAGCCAAGTTTAGAAGGAGAAAGCAGTCGTGCAGTGACGGCGAAGAAATGTACCAAAAAATTGTGCTGCACCCGCGAAGTTGTTGTCTTTCTTGTTGAGTCAATTGCATTTTTGACGTTTTCGTGCCGTCGCTGTTGTCATTGCTAAAGCTCCCCGATGAGTGCGCCTTTTAATTCCTGATGATAACAATTAGCTCGTTAACCTGTGTCCTTTAACTTAATTCCCTCTTTCTGGTATGTAGGCGTGTATCTCACCTGGTTACTACTGCTCTGTGCTCTTACTGATATCAATGGAATGTTGTCCTGGGCGTGGCTCCTGGTGCTTATCTTTCTACGAGATCCTGTCTAAAAAGGCCATATAAACGCGAGGTCTAATAGCAGTATGCGGCGATCATGCGCACCTACTTTTGTTTGCATACGATCAACTGCTTGTGTACGCACCACCCCGGTCCATATTCATTCCCAGGGAAAAGGCTGTCTCGTAACGTGTTTCGGGACTACCCCCGGACTCCGTAGATACTGCATAATCTGCGGCTGGGGCCTGTTTCAAGCTCCAAGCCAAGTTAGCTGCAAGAACTGGAGAATGAATCCCCGGTTCTCCCTTTCTCCCCTTCTCTTTCTCCCTTCCCAAATTGACTGATACTCCTGAAAAACGAGACGCGTGCTGCTCAATAGCCAAGTGTCAGAGCTTCTAAATATGGCCTTGTGTGTTTTTGTGTTTACTTGCTGTCAGCCGTCACTCATACAGTTAACTCACTCCCCGGGGGATGGGGTACTCCCTTATATGGCTTATACAGGGATGTGCCGCTGGACAGGGTATGGTTTTTGTCTTCTTTGTCCTAAAAAGGGTATATAATTGCGGGCGAGTCTGTCCGAAAGAGGGTATATAATTTGTCCGAATTAGTCCTGCTGTAAGTGTACAAAAGCAATGACAGACTAAAATGTGAATTTGTTCTATTTCAATTGCCACAAAATGGCGTTAAAACAAGACAGCCTGCATTTTGTCCTTTTCCTAAACAGGGGTAATGAAATTGAGGGCCTGTCGTCCTAAACATGGTATTTAGTTTAGGACTTTTTGGTCCTAAACAAGGTCAGGATTTCAAACCCGCAGTGGCTCGCCTATACCAAAATATTGGTCGAGTAGCCCCGGAATTCTCTCTAGGACGGACACAGTATTACTGGCGGTATTAAATGTCCGTCTTATAGGAATATTCGCCTTATAGAAAATACAAAAAAGACTACAATGTAACTAAAAGACGACAAGGACCAACCTCTCAGTGCCCGTCTTACAGTGTTGTCCGTTAAGAGAGAGTTGAATGTGCATAACTTGAAGTTACCGTTGTTACTGGTTATGGTTCGGGGAGTGAAACGCTTTTCCATTGTTCTACACCCATGTGATTATCACGTGCTTACCGGATCTTGTGCTTGCGCATTGACCCGTCTGCTACGTTCTCTGTCAGTCAAACAGCCATCTTCATGGCTACAGCGATGAACTCCTGATTGGTAATAAGCTTTGATCTGGTAATAAAGTTAAAGATAACTTAAAGTTCCGAAAATAATCCCCTCCATGTATAAGCCCCTCCAAATATAAGCCCCCCAAACCGGTAACGCAAAAAACCCTCCGTTAAATCGCCCCTCCAAATGTAAGCTCCCGTGGGCTTGTATTTGGAAAATTGCCCTCAAATACAAAGTAAAACAAAGCAAAAGCGGTAAATTTACTTCCAACTATAAGGTTAGCCCAATCGATTTTGAAACGCAAATTTCCCCCCGTAGATAAGCCCCTCCGAATATAAGCCCCTCCAAAAATAAGCCCCTCAAAAAGGGCCTTTGAAAAATATAAGCCCCGGGGTTTATTTTCGGAATTTTACGGTATGCTAAATTACACCTAGTTAAGTCGTGAAAAAATGAAGGTGGCTCTGAACTACCTCTAAGATTTTCGACAAAGATTTATTTAACATACCAATTACAATTCAATGAAAAATGAGAAGTTAAAACTAAAATTAAGGATGTTTAACACTGGATTAAGTGCTGCTATAGCAACCTATTACGCCATACTGAATACCCGTAGGCCATCTTATATGTTTTTAGTTTAAACAATTCGAGATTTAACATACTGAGGTCTTTCTAGGAAGAGGGCATTACACGAAAGCTGTACTTACGTCAATGTTTAGAACACAGTGAAAAAAGAACAAAAATATCCCCTGGAACGGAAACAAGAAAATATTATGGCAGTTAAAAAATATTAATTTGTCAACATAAAGGTAGCCTGCGAAAAAAGCCGACATTTACAGCGCCATCACTGGTTTTCCCGGGAAATGACGTCTGAGAAACGAGCGCAGAAATTCCATGCTGATGACGTGTCACTATCCAGATCTGGGTAATGCTTCTGATTGGCTGAAGCAAATTTACCTCAGTGTATGACCAATCAGAAGCACTACCCAGATCTGGGTAGTGACGCGTCATCAGTGTGGAATTTCTGCGCTTGTTTCTCAGACGTCATTTCGCCGGGAAACCAGTGGTGTCAGCTGTTTTCTCAGGTTAGTATAAAGGGAGAGACTTTTGTAACAAATCAAATTCATGGCCTTTAGTGTTGGAAAGAAAGGACACAATTGCCCAAGTTATGATGTGAAAAAAGCAAGGCCAGAAACCAGAAACCTAGAGACAAATCTATTTCACCAGGTGTGATGACGTCATTTGGTTTGAAATTGCATCATGAATTCATTCGCGAAATAACTTTGTGTATGTACACAATATTGGAGAAAATACCAACCTGTAAACCGTTAACAAGTCCAAAAGAGAGTTGAAAAACTACGTCTTTATCCTTATCCTGGAAGGAAAGAATGCCAAAAATCCAACCGAGGCAAAGGCCGAGTAGCATAAGGCTATTGGTCCTTAGGCCATACCTGTTCAAAACAAAAGAGGGCAAAAGAGGGAAGCACTTTGTTCACCGAGCACCGTTTCGCATTTTTCTATTCATACCGAGTATGTCTTTTTCATTGGAAGCGTATTTTTGCCTCCTTCCAAAAATTTTTTTTCATCAAATAAAGAAGTGATTTGGCTTCTTGCTGATAGCCGTTCCACCTTTTAAGATCATTAATTCGCCTTTGAATATCCAAGCCTTCTTTGGGACTAAATTTGACCGAATAAAACGGAGGAAAAACTCCTCCTATCCCCTTTCCCCCTCACCGTCTCCTCGCGATTTTTCTCCTAAAAAGAGAGCCTTATCACAAGAAATTAAAATTGTGCTTTGTATTCCATTTTTCGCCATAAAATCTACTTATATGGATTATGTTGATGAGTGTTGTAATAGTTGTAAAGAATTATAACACTGTGTTTCCATCCGGAAGGCAACGTAGTCATTTTGGGCGTTTTAAAAGGACAAGTCGTCCTGGAGGCGTTATTTTGTTTCCGCCTGAATGTCGGTTTCCTCAGACTTCCATCTTTGTTACTAACTATTTGTTTTCATAAGAATAATGAAAGGCTTCAGGCTTGGGGTTTTACCTTGTACATCGTTTTTCTACTACAGCTCTGGCGCAGATGTCATATGAAGGTTGTCTTAGATGATGAAGTGTCACGCACAAGACCATCAAGTTGAGCTACAAACATGAAAGTATAAAAGCCTGGGTAAAAAAACTGAAGTTCGTAAAAGCAAGAACCAACCTAGTCCCTAAGGCGATTCTCTCAGAAAAAGGGCGGGGCGGGAAGAGACGGCCTGAGTTCGCGCTCTGTGAGGTGACGCATACAGTCTAACTTCCGCCTATGGCTACCTCCCCTAAACGGCCACTTCTCTAGAACAGATACTTTTTTGGCGAAGAGTCCATATATTGCCCCTTTTTAAATCTCTCTACAATGGCCACCTCTCTACCATGGCCGCTTTCTTCTGTCGCCAAGGTGGCCGTTTTGGAAAGGTTTAACTGTAGTTTGATTTTAGGGTGTATTGGGACCTATTGGGGGCACACGTGACCAGTCGATGCCAGGGTCTTTTCCAGCCCCTCTCACTTTCTAAAGGAAAAGCTTCGGTGACAAGGTTGCGCAAGAACTTTCCAACAAGCAAAACAAATCATTCAAAGAATGCATAATTATTACCGTGGCAATGAGAAGAGCAGGAACAACGAAGGTCCACACAATATGATCTGAATCCCAACAGTTATAAAGCGATAAACTGAAAGGAAACCATTACAAACAGCCGTTGGTTTTTGTACGGTCATGTCATCAAAGAAGAACAATA